AACCCTGGGCCCTCGATGTTTCCTCCTAAAGCCTTACTAGGCTCTAACCTGAGTCCTGAACTTCCTACCTAAAGCCTAAACCCTATGAATGAACGTTTCTCCCTGGCGCAATTGCAGAAACTGTCTAGAAGTGCACGCAACCTCAGCAACCATGGAACTGATGAAGCCCCTAGACCCCAAACCCTAAACCCCCCAAGCCCTAAACCCTAAACCCTAACCCCTAAACCCCTAAACCCCTAAACCCCTAAACCCCTAAACCCCTAAACCCCTAAACCCCTAAACCCCTAAACCCTAAACCCCTAAACCCCTAAACCCCTAAACCCCTAAACCCCTAAACCCCTAAAAACCCCTAAACCCCTAAACCCTAACCCCTAAACCCCCCTACAACCCCTCACCCTAACTAAACCCCTAAACCCTAAACCCTACACCCCACCCCCCCTCAATCACCCCCCTAAAACCCCAAACCCCTAAACCCCTAAACCCCTAAACCCCCCTAAACCCCTAAACCCCTACACCCCTAAACCCCTAATCCCCTAAACCCCTAAACCCCTAAACCCCTAAACCCCTAAACCCCTAAACCCCTAAACCCCTAAACCCCTAAACCCCTAAACCCCTAAACCCCTAAACCCCTAAACCCCTAAACCCCTAAACCCCAAAACCCTAAACCCCTAAACCCTAAACCCCTAAACAGCCAGCTGCCGCCAGATGCCCCAATTCGCAGCCTCCCTGGCCTTCATGGACCAGTACCGAGGCTTGGGGTCTAGGGTTTAGGGTTTAGGGTTTAGGGTTTAGGGTTTCGGGTTTGGGGTTTAGGGTTTAGGGTTTAGGGGTAGCTCAAGTTTATTGGGCATGGCGAAAAGGCCCCTCTTTGGTAGGTTTTAGGTTTTGGGTGTAGGGTTTAGGGTTTAGGGTTGGGGTTTAGCATTTGGGGTTTTGGGTTTAAGGTTGGTTTAGGGTCTCCTCAGAGAAGCCCAAGAGGCTTGCATAAGCGGTGGGCCGAATGGTCAAGAGCGCCCAAGGCGCCTGAAATGAAGAACCGACATGGGTTTAGGGTTTAGGGTTTAGGGTTTCGGAGTACCGAACCCAAGTGAAAAAACCCGGTGGCCACTGCCCTAATACGACAAAGCCAACCCCCAATACCAAACCTCCGAAACTCCCCAACACCAAATCCTAAACCCTAAATCGCCTTGACTACCGTGAACCCTAAAGGATTCCAACCATTCCTAAACCCCAAGCCCGAAGCCTCAAGCCCTCAGGCCCTAAACCCGAAACTCCTGAACCCAAAACGCTAAACCCTAAACCCTGAACACCCTAAACCCCAAACCCTAAACCCTAGACCCCAAACCCTAAACCCTAAACTCCTGAACCCTAAAGGCCATTACCCCTCCAACATGGCTTCCCTGCGACGGGTGATGCCGCGTTTCGACCCCGAGGTTGGAAAAGGGGGGGGCGAGTTTAGGGTTTAGGGTTTAGGGTTGGGTTTAGTTAGGGTTTAGGGTTTAGGGTTTAGGGTTTAGGGTTTAGGGTTTAGGGTTTAGGGTTTAGGGTTTAGGGTTTAGGGTTTAGGGTTTAGGGTTTAGGGTTTCGGGTCTAGGGTCGAGGGTTTAGGGTTTAGGGTATAGGGTTTAGGCTTTAGGGTTTAGGGTTTGGGAGGGTTGTAGGTCCTGGGGTCTAGGGTCTCAGGGTCTCAGGGTTTTACCCTAGTGTAGGGTCTCAGGGTCTCGGGGTTTAAGGTCTCACAGTCTTGCGGTTCAAGGGGTGTCAGAGGCCTGGAAGGATCCAGGGTCTTAGAGGCCTTAGAGGCTGGTTGTTTTAAGTACTTTGGTTGTAAGATTCTAAGACCCCGCAACGAAGGAGTACACCCTGACTTAAGAATCAGGACACCTTCCCTTGGTCCATGAGCCCTGAACTGTGCGATCCCTAAACATGATAACCTTCTGAACTCGTTCTACGCCCTAAAGCCTGAATCCTGAATCCTCCACCCCTCAATCGCATCCTAAACCCGACCATCAACCCCAATCTCCAAAGCCAAATCCCGAAACCTTATCAACCCCAAACCCCAGACCTCCCAAACCTCCAAAGGACCCTGCAAGATTGCACCCTTAAACCTCAATCCTCAACCCTCAACCCTCAACCCTCAACCATAAACGTGGTGGGATGTTCCCCCTTATACTAGCAGTCCTTAATCGGGATGACAATCCTCATGAAGGACTGGTAGGATAAGGGGAACATCCCAACCCTCAACCCTCAACCCTCAACCCTCAACCCTCAACCTTCAACCCTCAACCCTCAACCCTCAACCCTCAACCCTCAACTCTCAACCCTCAACCCTCAACCCTCAACCCTCAACCCTCAACCCTCAACACTAACCCGTAAACCCCTAAACCCCTAAACCCCTAAACCCTCAACCCTCAACCCTCAACCCTCAACCCTCAACACTAACCCGTAAACCCCTAAACCCCTAAACCCCTAAATCCCTAAACCCCTAAACCCCTAAACCCCTAAACCCCTAAACCCCTAAACCCCTAAACCCCTAAACCCCTAAACCCCTAAACCCCTAAACCCCTAAACCCCTAAGGCCCTAAGGCCCTAAGGCCCTAAACCCCCTGGATGAGGAGACCGACGAGTGGATTGAGTCCCTCGACGCCGTCCTCGGCACCCATGGCCTCCCAAGCAGAGTTCGGGTTTGGGGTTTGGCCCCTAAACCCTAAACCCTAAACCCTAAACCCTAAACCCTAAACCCTAAACCCTAAACCCTAAACCCTAAACCCTAAACCCTAAACCCTAATCCCTAAACCCTAAACCCCAAACCCTAAACCCTAAACCCTAAACCCTAAACCCTGACAGGTAAATTTCTAAACGCCCTAACATTCGACAGCCTCGAAGCACAGACTTGATCTTTCTTTCTTTTATATGGCGCGGGGGAGTGAAAGATGAGTATGGGAAGGAGGGCAGTAGGGTTTAGGGTTCAGGGTTTAGGGTTTAGGGTTTAGGGTGAGGGGTTTAAGGGTTGAAGGGTTCAGAGCTTAGAGCTAAAAGGGTGGATTGTGTGTTAGACGCAGAGTTTACGTGTGAACGGTTTGGGGCTCAGAGTTCGGGTCTGGAGAGGTACATCATTCGGGTTTAGGGTTTAGGGTTTAGGGTTAGGGTTTAGGGTCTGAGAGCTGTGGGTCCTGAAGATAGGATGAACTCCCAACATGTTGTAAGTTGACAAGAGGAGGCTCTAAACGCAAACCCTCATCCCTAAACCCTAAACCCTGAACCCTAAACCCTAAACCCTAAACCCTAAACCCTAAACCCGCATCCCCAGCCCTGAAATCCAACACCTCAAGTTTTCAACCCTCAAGCCGAAACACCAAACCCCCGAATGGAAGGCATAACATGGCTAGTTTCTGAGCCTAAAACCCATGGACCCTAAACCCTAAGCCTCAAACCCCAAACCCCTAAACTGCTCCACCCTGGCCCTGGGACTCTTACGCCTTTCAAGCCGAAACCCGAAATGCTAAAGCCCAAAACCCCCCAAAAAGTCCCTAAGCCCTAAACCCTTGACCCTAAAACCTAAACCTTGAGCCCTAAACCCTAAACCCTAAACCCTAAACCCTAAACCCTAAACCCTAAACCCTAAACCCTAAACCCTAAACCCTAAACCCTAAACCCTAAATCCTGAGCCCCCCCCTGAGCCCTTGAAGCCCGAAAGCCTCCTTGGGCCCTTAACACTTCTTGTTCTGAAGTATGGACGATGGGGTGTTATGGGATACTATAAGGGTTCCGCAATGCAGGGCCCGTATTCAAGAACCACGGGACAACCCAAAACCCTGATAAACCCCGATAAACGCCTATAAGCCCTAACCCCTAAACCCTAAGCCATAAACCCTCAAAAGGCCCGTATTGAGGGACCGAGGGTTTGTAAGGGCTCCCGAAGTGCCAGGGCCCACGAGAGCTAGATTTCTGCTACACGAGCTCGGGGACGAGGCCTTCTGCAACACTGAGTTGAGGTTCGAGCTTTCGGGCGCGCAGGGTTTTGGAGTTTAGGGTTTAGGGTTTCAGGTTTAGGCTGTAGGGTATATGCTTTAGGGTTTCAGGGTCTAGGGTTTTGGTTTAGGGATTATGGTTTGGGGTTGGGTTTCAGGCTTAGGGTTTCGGATTCAGGGTCGCATAGTGTCAGGTCCAGGGTTGAATGTGAGAAAGTTCAGCCCCCAAAGCCACGAAATCCCAAGCAGCTACTCCACACCCTCAACCGAAAGCCCTGCTCCCTCAACCCACACAGCCCTAAACTCCCGAGCCCTGAGCCACGATGTAGGGTTTAGAGTTTGGGTTTCCACAACCCCACACCCCATTAACCCGAAACTTCGAACAGCAAAGCCTAATCTCGAAACCCTAAACCCTAAACCCAAACCCTAAACTCTGGACCCTAAACCTTGAAAGCCCTCAAACCGAAGCCCTGAGTGGGACCCTTTATCCCTGAACAGGTGGCAGAGTTTAGGAATTTGTTTTGGGGTTTAGGGTTTCGGGTTTAGGGTTTTGAGGTTTAGGAGGAGCCTAAACCCTAAATCACCCGAAACCCTTGTAGTTGCGGGGTTATGAAGCTTTCGGGGTGAGAGTATCAGGAGGTTAGGGCTCAAGCTCTAATTTTTAGTGTCAGGGTTTTAGGGGTTCACGGTTTTGGGGGGTTGAGGATAGTAGACAACTGGGGCTCCTAGTTCTTTCGTTCCGTGGTTTGGGGTTTAGGGTTTCGGGGGGGATTCTTTCCCTAAACTTGGCATGTTCCCCCTTATTCTACTAACTGTCCTTAATAGGACCTATAGTGCCCCTAGTCTCATCCCTATTTAGGACTGCTAGTATCGGGGGGGGAACATCCCAACCCCAAACCCTAAGCTTGACGCCTGGAAGCCTTGTCTTGTTCCGACACCGGGATCTTCGGAGCGATTCCTCAGCTGCTTCGGCTCAGCTCTAATGTCAGGCTTTTCGTGTTGACGTTTCCCCCCCCTTAAATTCACAGCATGACTCGACCGGTTTGCCTCTTGGATGCGTTTATGTTCAGGGTTTGAGGTGTTAGCTTGCGGGGAGGGCCGACAGCTCCAGGAGGAATCTTGTCAACAACCGTGTAGATGTGGGGCTTTACGAAAATCAGGGACTCTCCAATATACACCCCCAAATTGTAGGATTCCTAGAAGGACCCAACAACAAGGTAGCCCCCCAATTTCCTAAACCCGAAACCCGAAACCCGAAACCCGAAACCCGAAACCCTAAACCCTAAACTCTAAACCCTAAACCCTAAACCCTAAACCCTAAACCCTAAACCCTAAACCCTAAACCCTACAGAACCACCCCACAGGGGGGTGGGGGGTGTTTGAAATGGTTCCGGGCTTCGGGGTTTGGGGTGAAGCATCTTCTTTGCACCGAGCCTCGTTGGAAATGATGTTGCCGCAGCGACCTCCCAACAAAAGAAGCCGGTTTCAATATAGGGTTTAGGGTTTAGGGTTTAGGGTTTAGGGCTTAGGGTTTAGGGTTTCGGGTTTAGGGTTTAGGGTTAATTACTCGTATCATCCCCTTCTATAGCAATACAATGAAGGCCCCTATAGTACATACAAAGACACAAAGAGCTTGCGGCGCAGGCTTATATTCCCATGCTGAACTTTGAGCCCTGAGCGTGCGACCCTAAACCCTCAGCCCTAAACCCTGAACCCTAAGATTCAAACCCGAAACCAAGACCCGAAGTCCTAGAGCCTAAGCCCGTAGCCCTATGCACCCCCCAGAGCCACCCCCAAAACCCCCCATAAATCCCCAAGCCCTAAGCCCTAAGCCCTAAGCCCTAAACCCTAAACCCCAATCCCTAAACAAACCCTGAACCCCTTAAACTCTAGCTCCTTGTCCTTAAGTCCCAAGTCGCCCTAGCCCCTTAGCCCCCGAGCCCTAAATCCCAAAGCCTCGAAACCCTCAACCTGAAATCCGAAACCCTAAACCCTCAGCCCCAAACCCTAAACCCTAGACCCTAAACCCTAAACCCTAAACCCGAAGCCCTAAACCCTAAACCCTAAACCCTAAGCCCGCTTAAAATCCTTAAAAGCGAAGCTCGAAGCCCTGAACCCTACAACCCTACCCTAAGTTCTTGCAGCGCACCCAAGCCTCTCTTATTCCCGTTGACAGCCCCTTTGTGTATTTTCTGCAGTCCCGATACCTAAACCCTAAACCCTCAACCCTCAGGACCCTAAACCCTAAACCCTAAACCCTAAACCCTAAACCCTAAACCCTAAACCCTAAACCCTAAACCCTAAACCCTAAACCCTAAACCCTACACCCTAAACCCTAAACCCTAAATCCTAAACCCTAAACCCTAAACCCTAAACCCTAAACCCTACGCCCCTAAAGTCCTTTATAGAGAAGGATCTCTCCTTTCGTCCCTTGAGGTTGGCTCCAGCTCTTGTGGCTGCCGTGCCTTCGGGCCGCCTGGGTCACGCTGGGCGACCTCCAAGGTGTGGGGGTTTAGGGTTTAGGGTTTAGGGTCTAGGGTCTAGGGTTTAGGGTTTAGGGTTTAGGGTTTAGGGTTTAGGGTTTAGGGTTAGGGTTTAGGGTTTAGGGTTTAGGGTTTAGGGTTTAGGGTTTAGGGTTTAGGGTTTAGGGTTTAGGGTTTAGGGTTTGTGGTTTGGGCGTCTTAGGGTTTGGGTTTAGGGGTTTCGGGGATTAGGGTTTAGGGGTTCAGTGGTTTAGGTTTAGGGTGCGCTTTAAGTTTTTACTTATATATATATATATATTTTTTTTTTTTTTCAGGGTTTTGTTGGGTGTTGAGGGTGCATTGATGGGTGTTAGTTGGGATGTTCTCCCTGATGCTAGCAGTCTTAAGAGGGATTGTAATACCCTAGACCCCAGACCCTAAACCCTAAACCCTAAACCATAGACGGTTTAGTTCTAAGGGGTGGACCCGAAACCCTGAACCCCAAAATATGGAGGCTCGGGGCTATTACTCCCTGAACCCAAACCCCAAGCCCCTCAGCCCTGAACCCCAAAACCCCCCAAAAAACCCCAAAACTCTAAGCCCTAAACCCTAAACCCAAAACCCTAAACCCTAAACCCTAAACCCTAAACCCTAAATCCTAAATCCTAAACCCTAACCCTAAAGCACGCAGGTGATCTGGAGCTTGACCAGGAGAAGGAGGAGTCCCGATCTCAGCCAAAAGCAAGGTTTGGGGTACCCTGGAGGCCCTGAGGCCCGGAAGCCAAGACCTGAAACCCTCAACACCCTAACACCCCCAAGTACTAAGCCCTAAACCTTAAATCCTAAACCCTAGCCCTAAACCCTATATAGCCCTTAACCCTAAACCCTAAACCCGAAACCCTAAACACCCAAACACCCCAAACCCGGTGGTGAGGTCAAGGGATGAAGCCGCGCGCCAGTTGACCTCCCGAGAAAACGTCACCTCCGGTCCCTTTGCTGCGGCGATGGGCCGAGGGCGGAGGGCTCTTTTTCTGTGTTTTTGGGGGGAGTAGAGTTTCGGGTTTAGGGTTTAGGGTTAAGTTTCTTCTTTGGGGTTAGGGCTTAGGGTTTAGGGTTTAGGGGTTCGGGGTTGGGGTTGAGGGTGTGAGCTTGCCTTTGTAGGTTTAGTGTTGCGAGTGTCTGGGCTTTAGGGATTAGCGTGGTGCTCCGGGTTTTAGACTTTTCTTGTGAGGCTTAGTGTAGGGGATGTTGAGACTTTACGGTTTCAGTTTTCAGTGTGCTAGACGTTAGAGTTTAGGGTTTCAGGGTTCGGATTTACGGTATTATAGGGCTTGGGCAAATAGGGCGTTTCGGTTTTGTGTCTGTGGGCTTTGATGGTTAGGCCAAGGGTTTAGGATTTGACGAGTCTTGGGTTTGCCAGTAGGGTTTAGGTTTTAGGGTTTAGGGTTTAGGGTTTAGGGTCTAGGGTTTAAGGTTTAGGGTTTAGGGTTCAGAGGCATCTGAGCCAAAAGAGTCGCGTGCATTTGTTCGGCTCGGCTCGCTGTCGGGGCCTCCTTGGGCACTCGAACCCCAACGAAACCCCCTAAACCCCCTAAACCCCCTAATCCCCCTCAACCCCCTGAACCCCCTAAACCCCTAAACCCCCTCAACCCCCTACACCCCCCAAACCTTCTAAACGGTTCAGAGTTTGGGCTTGGGTCGTAGGGTTTAGGGCTTAGGGTTTAGGGTTTTAGGGCTTGGCTCAAGGTGGTTTGGGGTTGTGGCGTTTGGGGCTAGGGGTGTAGTGTCGAGGAAGCCCCAATGAGGTTTGAGCTTTAAGCACTAAACCCTTATCCTAAGCCCTAAGCCCTAAGCCCTATGAATCTTCTGGGATGAACTGCTGATGTGGGCTGCAGAGAAACCCTAAACCCTAAGCCCTAAGCCCTAGAAACTAAACCCTAAACCACCCTCAACTTTGCGCCGAGGTAGGGGCGAGATCCATGAGCATCGCAGTGCCCAAGCGGTCCGAAGCGAGGATCACCTCAGCCAGCTGGTAGCGCCGATGGTCCTGGTTTAGGTTGAGGGTTGAGGGTTGAGGGTTGAGGGTTGACGGTATTGGGTTTAGGGTTTAGGGTTTAGGGTTTGGGGTTGAGGGTTTAGGGTTTGGGGTTGAGGGTTTAGGCTTGAGGGTTGAGGGTTTAGGGTTTAGGGTTGAGGGTTGAGGGTTTAGGGTTGAGGGTTTAGGGTGGAGAGTTTAGGGTTTGCCCGCCAGCTTCCCCGACGCCCCGGGCCATCCCCTTTAGGGTTTAGGGTTTAGGGTTTCCCCACCTTCTCCCCACCTTCAGAACCCCATGCTCGGGTTTGGGGCTTTAGGTTTTTTGGGGCTTTGGGGCTGAAAGGGTTACCGGGGTGCTTTACAACCCTAATGTACAACGGTACTTATAAGCCCCCGAAGTCCCCTAAGTCTTACAATTGGGGTTATGAAGTACCCATGAACCCCCAACGCTCCCCCCCGAAAGCCAAGGAATGCCCAGGCCGTCTCTGACAAGGCCATGGCCGGTTTCTCTTTGTCCAAGACCCTAAACCCTAAACTCTAAACCCTAAACCCGAAGCCCCAAAACCCAAAACCCAAAACCCTAAACCCTAAACCTTAAACCCTAAACCTAAACCCTAAACTTTAAACCCTAAACTTTAAGCCCTAAACCTTAAACCCTTAACCCCAAGCCGTGCCCTAAAGGATTGAAGGATTTCTTCTTTCCCACCCCCACAGCTTCCCAGAACATGTGAAGAGGGTCCACTCATACTCTTGCTAACCTTAAGCCCTAAGCACTAAACCCTAAGCTCTAAACCCTAAACCCTAAACCCTACACCCTAAACCCTAAACCCTAAACCCTAAACCCTAAACCCTAAACCCTAAACCCTAAACCCTAAACCCTAAACCCTAAGCCCTAACACCATAGAGGTGGACAGCTTGGGGATGCAAGGCCATGGCAAACTTTTCCGTCGCGGACCTCAGCCGGCCCGACGGCCACCAGAGCGGCTCGCTCTTTCAGGGCCTGTCGAAGGACATCTGGGGGAGGGGAGGGGGTTTAGGGTTTAGGGTTTAGGGTCTAGGGTTTAGGGTTTAGGGTTTAGGGTTTAGGGTTTGGGGTTTAGGGGTTTAGGGTTTAGGGTTTAGGGACATCTGGGGGAGGGGACACCGGGGGGGGTCGTGCAGGGGGAACCCTAAACCCTATGGACCCTAGACCTTAGACCCTAAACCCGAAGCCCTAAACCCTAAACCCACCCTAAACCCTCGTTCATGGAGGATCTCCAGGGCCAGACGACCGTGATCATGTACGACATGGGCGAGGGCACGGGCACGGATCCCAACGCGCCCAAGGAGATGACCCCGGAGGAGAAAGAGGAGGTGGGGTTTAGGGTTTAGGGTTTAGGGTTTAGGATTTAGGGTTGAGGGTTTGGATGGTTTAGGGTCTGGGGTCTAGGGTTTAGGGTCTAAGGGGGGTATATTAGGGTTTAGGGTTTCGGGATTTTGGGGATTTGGGTTCTTAGGGTTGGGGGGTTTAGGGAATGGGGGTTTCGGGGTTTGGTTCCAAATTCAACCCCCAAACCGCAAACCCCAAACCCTAAGCCCCAATTCCTAAACCCTCCCCGAAATGGTGGGTGCCCCCCCTCGTTTTCTCTCTTGTACCCCCTTATAACTCCCCTTTAACCCCAAACCCCTAAACCCTAAACCCTAAGCCCTAAACCCTAAAGCCCTCAAAGTCCCCGATACTTGGAGGTTCATGGTACTTATTAACCAATTATAACTGTACTTATAAACCCACTTATAACCCCCTTAAGTGCCCTAGTATAGTCGTAAGTATAGTTATAAGTATAGATACAAGTATCGTTATAAGTATAGTTTTAAGTATAGCTATAAGTATAGAAAAAAGTATAGTTGTAAGTATAGTTGTAAGTACAGTTATAACTGGTTAATAAAGTACCATGAACCTCCAAGTACCTCGCAGGTCAACAAGGCCTCTGGTGGCAAAAGCAACGGCATCCTCTCCAAGGCCTGGGTTTAGGGTTCAGGGTCTAGGGTTGAGGGTTTTAGGGTTTAGGGTTTAGGGCAAACCCTAAACCCTAAACCCTAGACCCTAAACTCTAAGTCCTAAATCCTAAACCCTAATTAAACCCTAAACCCTAAACCCTAAACCCTAAACCCTAAACCCTAAACCCTAAACCCTGAACCCTAAACCCTAAACCCTAAACCCTAAACCCTAAACGCAAAACGCAAGGCCTGGGAGACGGCCCGCCACATCCGCGGCAACAGCGGCAACGTGGTGGCTTCGCTTGCCCGGTTGGGGCGTGAGGGTTTGGGGTTTAGGGTTTAGGGTTTGGGGTTTAGGGTTTAGGGTTTGGGGTTTAGGGCCTGGGTTTTTTGGGTTTAGGGCCTGGGGTGGGGTTGCGAGCAGGGAGTGAAACCCTAGGCCCTAAGCCCTGAACTAAACCGCAAACCCCAAACCCTAGACCCTAGACCCTAATCCCAGAGCCTGGGGCCTAGGGTTTAGGGTTTAAGGGTTTAGGGTTTAGGGTTTAGGGTTTAGGGTTTAGGGTTTAGGGTTTAGGGTTTAGGCGGGTTAGAGAGACTTGAGGCTTTTGGGAGCCGGAGCCCCCAAAACCTTAACCTCTGATCCCCAAAAACTTTTGAATGGCCCCCCCCCCCCCCGCCTTACTGAATTGGGTCCCTAAGGGAAGGGTGGTATGAAACTCATGGGTTCCCTAGCAGGTTCCCCACCTTTTCATGAAACCTCCCTCCCGTAAGGACTTTAGACCAATTGAGGGTTTACGAAAATAGGGGACCCCTAAAAATAGACCCGCCCCAAATAGTAGGTTCCTCTTCTATAATACAGACCCCTAGTAGGTTCCTCTTCTATAATACAGACCCCAAGAAGGTACGGCACCCGAATTTTTGAGAACTTCCAGTGAACTTAAGGGCCTGAGAGTAAGCCCAAGGTGGCCAGCGTCGTCAGCGTCGTGGATCCGGAGAACTGCTTGACCAAGCTCCTCTACTTGCGGCTCTGTCATCATGGTTTTATAAAATCACAATATGAAGCTCCGAAAGCCCCCCCCCCCGCTTTTAAGCGAGTTGCGAGGCTGTACAGATTCGAGGGGGAGGACGACTACCCCTACTTCCCGCGCAAGCTCGGGGCCTGCGACATCGGCTTCAACTTCGAGACGGGTAGCGTGGCTGGGGGCATCTTCTGACATGGGCCCGAAGGGCCCCACCCAGTGGCGGAGCTGCCAAGGGCCAGAAAAAGGGGGGGCAGACCTAGGTTTCTGGGGTCGAAGGGTTGAAGGGGGTTGTGGGTGGAGGACTAATTAGATGGCGGGTTTCCGATAATAAGGGACCCTTCATCTTGACGCCCAAGTAATAGCATCCCCTTATAAGAAGGACACCAATGAGGTACCCCCCTGGCTCCACATCTTTCGGTTCCTGCGCTAGATATCACCAGGTTGTTCTTGCCTCGCGTGCCTGTCCGGGCGCAATTCTTTCTGGTACTCCAACCTCCCCCACGCCAGCACCTCATCCAAACCTGGAGCTTCTAGGAACCTCAAAAACCCTAGGCCCCTAAACCCTAAACCCTACAAGCGTTGGGGAGTTCGGGATTAACCCCAAACCCCAAACCCCAAACCCTAAACCCTCCTAAGCCCTAAGACCGAGACCCTCATCACCGACAGGCTGTGCGACGGGGCGTGAACATCTCCGCCTCCATTACCACACCCATGCTGGGAACTGAACTAAGGGTAGTTTAGGATTTAGGGTTTAGGGTTTAGGATTTAGGGTTTAGGGTTTAGGGGTTTTGGGGTTAGGGTTTAGGGGTTTTGGGTTTAGGGTGTAGGTGTGGGGTGCAGGTTTCGGTTTAGGGTTTAGGGTGTAGGGTTCGGGGTTTAGGGTTTAGGGGTTTTAGGGTTTAGGGTGTAGGTTTTCGGGGTTTTAGGGTCCTTAGGGCTTGGAGGCTTTAGGGGTTTTACGGGTTTTGGGGTTTTTAGGGTTTTTCGGGGTTTTAGGGTTTAGGGGTTTGAGGGGTTTCAAGGGTTTTTTAGGGTGGAGGGTTTCAGAGGGTTAAGGGGTTTAGGGGTCAGGGTGTTTAAGGAGGTTTAGTAGTCGCGAGGGCTTTAGGGTTTAGGGTTTCGGGTGACTTGCTAAGCTAAGCGGGGTTTAGGCGGAAAGTTTCTCCGGGTTTTGCTAGGCTGCTAGGGTTTACACTGAAAGTTTCTCAAAGGGTTTCGGGTTTTAGGAGGCAACGTAAATACAAACGCATCTGCAAATGCATTCTATTTTATCTTAATGTGCGCAAGCACAGGACTGAAGCCCAAGAGTATAAACCGTGAACCCTGAACCCTGAACCCTAACCCTGATCCCTGAACCCTGAACCCTGAACCCTGAACCCTGAACCCTAAACCCTAAACCCTAAACCCTAAACCCGAAGCCCTAAACCCTAAACCCTAAGCCCTAAGCCCTAAACCCCAGACCCTAAACCCCCCCAAAGCGCCTGGAGCCAAAGGCCCACGAGGCCATACTGCCAAGCCCCTACGACCCCTGAGACCCGTGCTTTCCCAAGCTCGAAACACTACAGCCCGAAATCCTAAACCCTAGACCTTCAACCCTAAATTTCTAAACCCTAAGCCCTTAAATCCTAAAACGCTGAACCCCAAACCCTAAACTCCAAAACCCTAGCCCCAGAGCCCCGTGAGCCGCAAGTCTGCAAAAGGGGCCCCCTAAGCCCATAAACTCCAAACACCCCACTTGGGGTTTTTTCCTCATACCCAACAGTCCCTAACAGGGATCACGGCACCCTCTTATTCCAATCCCTAAACCCTAGCCCTAAACCCTAAACCCTAAACCCTAAACCCCAAACCCTAAACCCTGATTCTTATCCCTATTGAGGACTGTTAGTATAAAGGGGAACATCCCAACACTAAGCCCTAAACCCTAAACCCTAAACCCTAAACCCTAAACCCTAAACCCTAAACCCTAAACCCTAAACCCTAAACCCTAAACCCTAAACCCTAAACCCTAAACCCAAGAAGGCACCCTCAGCCTGGAAGCTCTCGTGCCCATAAAACGCTCAAAGCTGTCAACAGGCGCCCGTAAACCCCCTAAGCCCTAAGCCTTACACCCTAAACCCTAAACCCTAAACCCTAAACCCTAAACCCTAAACCCTAAACCCTAAACCCCTAACCCCTAAACCCTAAACCCTAAACCCTAAACCCTAAACCCTAAACCCTAAACCCTAAACCCCTAACCCCTAAACCCTAAACCCTAAACCCTAAACCCTAAACCCCAAACCCTAAGCCCTAAACCCCCTCAACGCCAATCCCCAAAAAAACCCATGGGGCATGAGCCGCGCCCGGCGCCTCCTCCGCCGACGCCTCCTGGAACCTGCCGGCCACGGTCAGACAGCGCAAGGCCCTTATGTGGGTTGGCCCTTATGTGGGTTCTAAAGGGCTTGATAGGTTTAGGGTTTAGGGTTTAGGGTTTAGGGTTTGGGGTTTAGGGTTTAGGGTTTAGGGCTTTAAAGGCCTTCACAGATAGGGACCTTATCCTTCGTTTTCAACTTGTGCTTTTTTTGGGTTTTCAAGGGCGTTATATGCAAGGACTCTATCCTTTTTTTGTCTTGGCTACTATCATCATTCTCATTCTTGCGTTCATGATTGCTATTGTCATCTTGTTATCCACGGTTATTCTTGCTACTTGTGCTATTTTCATTGCTTCTGGGGTTTAGGGGAGGACGGTTTGGGGTTTGGAATTAGGGTCTTGCGGTTTCAGGGGCCCAGGGTTTTGGAGCTTTTTGGCTTCTTTCTAAGGCTGGGGCTTTCGGGCTTTAGGGCCTTATGGCAGGTTGAAGGGTTTAGGTATTTTAGTAGGGTTTAGGGTTTGGGGCCGAAGTTGTTGGGGACGGAGGCTCCTTGGGGGGGATGCTACAACAAAGACTTCCCTTGCTACCTGGCACCCTGAGCCCTAGACCCACTAAATCCCAAAACCCCAAAACCCCAACCCCTTCACCCTCCCCCCAACCCCAAAACAAACAAAAGACCCTAAACCCTAAGCCCGAAACTCTTTAAACTCTTAAACCCCCCAAAACCCGAGATCCTAAACTCCCAAAAGACACCTCGAGATGCCCTCCCAAGATCTGCCATGAACCCTGAGCCCTAAGCCCTAAACCCCGAAACCCCGAAACCCCGAAACCCCGAAACCCCTAAACCCCTAAACCCCTAAACCCCTAAACCCCTAAACCCCTAAACCCTGGAAACCCCAAACATCCCTGGCCCCCTAAACCCTAAACCCTAAACCCACTCGGAAGGAGCTTCCCCCTGGCCGCCGGCCGAGGTGCCTGAGGTGGGTCGCAAGATGCCTAGGCTTCCTTTGCATTTTTCATCTTGCAGCTTAGGGTTTAGGGTTTAGGGTTTAGGGTTTAGGGTTTAGGGTTTAGGGTTTAGGGTTTAGGGTTTAGGGTTTAGGGTTTAGGGTTTAGGGTTTGGCCTTTTGCCCTCCACACCCCCCCCCCCCCCCCCAGGCGGTGCTGAAGGAGCTCTGCAGGCAGCAGCTGTGGCACGAGGCACTGCGGAAGCTCCAGGAGGCGGGCTTTGGGTTTAGGGTTTAGGGTTTAGGGTTTAGGGTTTAGGGTTCAGGGTTTAGGGTTATTTCAGATGTCCGGATTCAATCTGCAGGTTCTAGAAAGATTGGGATGACCGGTCAGCACACCCCTTCTTCCACAGAGTTGGTGTTCTTGGTTTTCCCTCGCAGAGCGTGTCGTGGATCATGATGACTGTTGTCTTGCCTGGGGCAGTAGAATCGCCATAGGCTTTTTGGAGTTGATAGTTGGGGTTTTGTCTATTCCGAAACGGTTAACCTTTGAGAAGTGGAGGGGGGCTGATCTAAACCCCAAACCGTCCTGAATTTCTACACCCAAAACCCTAAACCCTAAACCCTAAACCCTGAACCCTAAACCCTAAACCCTAAACCCCAAACCCTAAACCCAAAAGCCCGCACAGCAGGCACCGCCGCAGAATGTCCTGGCATGGGGCAACGTCCTTGGCGCAGCCGGCTTGCACTTTACAGCCTTTCACAACCCTTCACAGCTCTGAAAGGAAAGAACCCCACGCTTTAGGGTGCAGGGTTTAAAGTTTAGGGTTTAGGGTTTAGGGTTCAGGGTTTACTCCAAGCCCAAAGCCCTAAATCCTAAACTAGGACCCTGGCTGCCCATGGGACCAGAGCATGAGGCCATACCCCAAGCCTTCGGGGGTAGGGTTTAGGGTTTAGGGTTTAGGGTTTAGGGTTTCCTAAACTCTGAACCCTAACAAGGCCTTCTGGATTGCACAAAAAGGCGATCAATGTCGACCTGCGCGGTCCCGCAACAAAAGCCACAAGCCTTGAGCTCCAAAGCCCTATCTAAGCCTCAAGCCTCAAGCCTAAAGCCTAAAGCCTACTGCCTAAACCCTACACCCTGCACCCTAAACACTCGAACCTAAACTCTATAACCCTGAACCCTAAACCCTAAACCCTAAACCCTAAACCCTAAACCCTAAACCCTAAACCCTGAACCCTAAACCCTAAACCCTAAACCCTAAGCCCTTCAGCTGTTGGCCTCAGGCCTGCGGCCGAGCGTTGGCCTGGCAAGAGGCTTTGCGCCTGTTGGGGGAGATGCCTGAACACCAGGCGTGAGCACCGGTGGAGTGGGGGGGATTTAGGGTTGGGGGTTTGGGGTCTAGGATTTAGGGTTTAAGGTTCAGGGTTTAGAACTTTAGGGTTTAGTTTTAGTTCTTTTTTTCATTTCTATTTGTTTGGGGCGGGAGTGGCGGCGGTTTCTGGGTTATTGTTGGGTTCGGTTTCATTTTCCGGGTTTGAGCATCTTAGAGTTGCAGGGTCCTGGGCCAAACTTAAGCCGACCGAAGGCATGGAGCATCATCCCAAGTATTGAAGGGTTTGGAGTCAGGGCTAAGCCCTAAACAGTAAACTCTAAGCCGTAAAACCCTAAACCCTGAACCGAAAACCCTGAACCCTAAACCCTAAACTCAAGTAGGGCTCAGGGTTTAGGGGTGAGGCCATGGGATGTTCACCATATACTAACAATCCTTAATAGGGTTCGAATACCCCCAAATACAATGCTTATTAAGGACTGTTAGTATAAGGGGGAACATCCCAAGTTTAGGGCTACGTACTGGCAATCAGGGGTGAGTGGGTCTTCTGGTGGCCTCCTGATGCATTTCTTGTTTGGGGTTCACTTCATAGGGTTGACGTTTGGGTTTTTTTGGTTTAGGGTTTAGGGTTTACCCTTGAACCCTAGCCTGAAACTCCAACTTTAGGGTTTGGGTTAAGGGCCCCCTCTCCCCTTCCCCCCTCTCGTCGAGGCGTGAGGGTTGGGGGCTCAGGGTTTAGGGTTTAGGGTTTAGGGTTTAGGGTTTAGGGTTTAGGGGGCTTTGGAGGCTTTAAAGGGCAAGGCCTCCACCCCTCAGCCCTGACCTGTGAAGCCCCTGAAGCCTCTTAAACCGTACTTTGGGATGGTCCCCTTATACTAACAGCCCTAAATCGGGATTAGAGTGTTAAGAACTGTGAGAGGAGCAGAATTCCCAACCAAGCCCTAAACCGCAAACCCTCAAGCGCCCAAAAGCCGAAGCCCTGAAACTGCCAATCTGCCCGCGCACGACACCCAGAACCCTAAGCTATTCAACCCGAGGCCCTAAGCCCTAAACCCTTCACCCTGAGCCCTAAACCCTAAACCCTAAACCCTAAACCCTAAACCCTAAACCCTAAACCCTAAACCCTAAACCCTAAACCCTAAACCCTAAACCCTAAACCCTGAAGTCGCCAGCGAGGTGGCGCCCAATGTCGTGCTTCTCGCCAGTGTGAGTTTGGGGTTGGGATGTTCCACCTTATACTAGCCGTCCTTAATCGGGATTATAGTACCCCCTATTGTAATCCCGATTATGGGTAGCATAAAGGGGGACATCCCGAGTTTGGAGGTTCAGGATTTAGTTTTGGGCTTTGGGAAGTTTGTTCCGGGCAAAAGAGTCCACACCCTCAGCCCTAGACCCTAAACCCCAAATCCTAAACCCGAAGCCCTAAACCCTAAACCCTAAACCCTAAACCCTAAACCCTAAACCCTAAACCCTAAACCCCAAACCGTCTGAAACGTTTCATAGGTTGGCACCATGGGCTCTGAGTTTGGACTTTACCCTTGCTTCTGGGGATATGGCCCCGTACTATAGAGAGTGTACCTAAGGGTTACTAAACACTAAACCCTAAACCCTAAACCCTAAACCCTAAACCCTAAACCCGTACTTGGGCCCATACTTCGGATCCCCCGATGTTGAATGGTTTGGGTCTTTTGATGTTTAGGGTTCCGGGGCTCATCCGGGTGGCAGACTTTGGGGCTTCGGTGGCTGGGTTGAGGTTTTGGGGTTTCAGGGTTCCAGTGCGTAGGGTTTAGGGTTTAGGGTTTAGGGTTTAGGGTTTAGGGTTTAGGGCTTAGGGCTTAGGGCTTAGGGCTTAGGGTTCAGGATTAGGGTTTCGGGTTGACGGAGCCATGAACCCTTGCGCTGCAACTGCAAGGTGTTACAACGCCGCCCTGAGCGCATGCGAGCGCAGTCGCAACTGGACCGTGTTGTGGTTTCTAACCCTACAGGCTCCAAATCTTGAAGGGTGTAGGGTTTAGGGTTTGGGGTTTAGGGGTTTAGGGTTTAGGGGTTTATGGGTTTAGGGGTTTAGGGGTTTAGGGGTTGAGGGGTTGAGGGGTTGAGGGGTTTAGGGTTTAGGGTTTTCAGGGTTTGGGGTTTAGGGGTTTAGGGTTTAGGGTTTAGGGTTTAGGGTGAGCACAGCAGTGCCAGGGCTTGAGGTTGCTGGGTTGTCCTGCACAGGTAGCTCTGTTCTCCTTTCCTGGTGCCCTAAACCGTAAACCGTAAACCCCAAACCCTAAACCCTAAATATCCTTAACCCCAAAATCCCATGACCTTGCAGCCCTGCAAGAGGACGCTGGCCCTGGACCTTTACAGCGCGCTCCAAAGGGAGCACTTGAGTCCTACGGTGCGAGCGCCAGGGGATGCAGGGTTTTAGGGTTTAGGGTTTAGGGTTCGGTTTTTTCGGGTCTAGGGTTAAGTTTAGCGTCTTAGGGTTTTAGGATTTAGGGTTTAGGGTCCAAGGTTTAGGGTTTGGGCGTTTAGGGTTGCAAGGTTTGCAGTTTAGGGTTTAGGGTTTAGGGTCCAAGGTTTAGGGTTTGGGGTTTTAGGGTTTGCAAGGTTTAGGGTCTAGGGTTTTAGGGTTTAGGGTTTAGGGTTATAGGGTTCAGGGTTTAGGGTTATAGGTTCGAGGGCCGAAGGTTTAGGGTGTCTTGGGGTTATAGGGTTGGCGTTGAGGGTTATAGGTTCGAGGGTTGAGGGTTTTAGGGTTACAGGGTTAGGGGTTTAGCGTCATAGGGTCATAGGGTTTAGGGTTATGGGGTTATTGTTTGGGGTTTCAGGATTCAGGGTATTAGGAGGGGTTCGATGGAGGGCTTGAGGGTTTTGGGTTCAGGGTTTAGGGCTGATTTCGGGATCAGGATTTTGGGTCTGCAGGGGTTCAAGGAACTTCTTGGGTTGGGGTTATTTAGGGTTTAGGGTTGAGGGTTATAAGGTTTTTGAGTTTAGGGCTACAGGGCTCTAAGGGTTTTAAGGGCTTGAAGGGCTTCAAGGGCTTAAAGGCTTTTTTTTTAAGGGTTCAGGGGTTTAGGGAGGGTCTTAAGGGTTTAGGGTTTAGGGCCTTATATGGTCCTTATCCCCAAAGAACCCCTAAATAACCCCTGAGGTCCCTAATGAGGGTACCTCCTTTAGTCCCTAGCTGTTGCCAGCCGACGTCTTTCTCCCCTGGCTCCCTATATACACCCATCAAACCCTGAACCCTGAACCCTGAACCCTAAACCCTAAACCCTAAACCCTAAACCCTAAACCCTAAACCCTTAAGTCGCCCCTAGAGAACCCCCGGGGTCCCTCCTTGTCTGCCGTGGCTGAAGGGACCGACTAAACCTTAAACCCTAAACCCTAAACCCTAAACCCTAAACCCTAAACCCTAAACCCTAAACCCTAAACCCTAAACCCCAAACCCTAAACCCTAAACCCTAAGCCCCAAAACCTAAACCCTAAACCCTAGCTTAATTCTTTCTCCGCTGGCTCAAGGGTAAGCAAACCGTAGGTGCACAAATCAGCCTTTGGCGAACCCGAGCAACTGCGAGGCGAGGACTCCTTAGCTTTGAGAGGGTCTTGTGCTCAGGGTTTTAAGTAGGGCCCTAAGCCCTAAGCCCTAAACCCTAAACCCTAAACCCTAAACCCTAAACCCTAAACCCTAAACCCTAAACCCTAAACCCTAAACCCTAAACCCTAAAACAGAAAGCCCTAAGCCCTAAACCCTAAACCCGAAACCCTAAACCCGAAACCCTAAACCCCAAACCCTAAGATGCCAGAGCACAGAAAAGCCCTGAAGAAGACGACAACCCCAGGAGCCCTTGCAACCCTCGAAGCCCTGGAAGGCCTAAAGCCTCGGGGTTTAGGGTTTAGGGTTTAGGGATATGTGCCCTTAGCTGGGGACACCTGGTATACCACTTACATACCCCATAAATCCCAAGACCACATTAAGGGCACGTGTAACTCCCCTTAGATAAAGCCTTAGAAGCCTTTGACGTTTGAAACCCGAAAAGCCCGAAAAAAACCCCGGAAACCCCCACAAACCTTTACACGCCCTAGAAGCCCTACAAGCACCCCAAAACCGAGATATAACCCATGTAAACCCTAGAAAGCCCCTTAAACCCTGTAAACCCTGGAAACCCTAACAGCACTCCTAAACCCTAAACCCTGAACCCTAAACCCTAAACCCCAAACCCTCAACCCTAAACCCTAAACCCCAAAGCCCTTCCCTCTCTTAGCCCTGAACCTCAAGTTCTGGACCTTCTTGGGGGCCTGGGGGTTTAGGGTTAAGGGTTCCTTGTTGCGAAGTTACATACATGTCCCCGAAGTAGACGGTAACTTCTTTGAATCACCCTAAACCCTAAACCCTAAACCCTAAACCCTAAACCCTAAACCCTAAACCCTAAACCCTAAACCCTAAACCCTAAACCCCAAACGCCAAGACCTAAACCCTGGAAGTGCATGACTCCTCAAAGCCTTCAGAACCTTCCCAAAAAAAAGGGACCGGTCAGCTTTAGAGCCATGGATTTCAACAAGGGTTGTTGGGGTTGAGGTTCCGGGGATGAAGGGTTTATGTTTTCAGGGGTTTAGGGTTTAGGGTTTAGGGTTTAGGGTTTAGGGTTTAGGGGATGTTTCAGGGGTTTAGGGTTAAGGGGTCAAGGGGTTTAGGGGGTCGGGGTGTAGGGTTGAGGGTGGTAGGGTTTCGCGTTTTGGGTCCCCTGCGTCTTGCAGGCTGTGTGCGAGTGGGGGCCTCAAGCGGTGCGGCAAACCCTAAACCCGAAGCCCCAGATACTTCCAGCCTCACACTGCCGACTTGGTTCTAGAGTGTAGGACAGAGGGGTTAAGGTTTCGGTCTAGGGTTTAGGGTTCAGGGTTTAGGGTTTGAGGTTTAGGGATTGGGTTTGATGTTGGCGGTTGGGGTTTAGGGTTTAGGGTTTAAGGGTTTTGGGGTTTAGGGTTTAAGGGATTTAGGGTTTAGGGTTTAGGGCTTGCTGATGATTCCTGTTCATGTTTGCAGCTCTTTCATCTTACTGGCTCGTGGTAGGGAGTAAAGGGAAGTAAGGTTAAGGGTTGGCTCTGATAGGGAGTTGGGGCATTAGCTACCGTAGAGCATCCCTCACAGGGATGGAAAAGCAAATGCTCTAGACCCTAAAGCCCTAAAGTCCGAAAGCCCTAAAGCCCTAAAGCCCCAACGCCCTAAGCCCTAAGCCCTAAAGCCCTAAACCCTAAACCCTAAACCCTAAACCCTAAACCCTAAACCCTAAACCCTAAACCCTAAACCCTAAACCCTAAACCCTAAACCCTAAACCCCCCCTAAACCTCCTACCCATAAAGAAGTCGTAAGTCATGAGATGTGCCAGCCCCTTCGAGCCCAAGGCCCCCTAAACCCCTGAAGCTCCCAAAGCCCTAAACCCTAAACCCTAAACCCTAAACCCTAAACCCTAAACCCTAAACCCTAAACCCTAAACCCTAAACCCCTGAAGCTCCCAAAGCCCCCAAAGCCCCTAAAGCCCCCAAAGCCCCCAAAGCCCCTAAAGCTGCCCAAGCCCCTGAAGCCCCCGAGCCCCCAAATCCTAACACCCCAAAGCCCTAAAACCTCAAAGCCTAAGCCCTAAGCCCTAAGCCCTAAGCCCTAAGCCCTAACCCCTAAACCCTAAACCCTAAACCCTAAACCCTAAACCCCAACACCCTAAAGCCTAAACCCCTAAACACCTAAACCCTAAACCCCAAACCCCTAAACCAAGGTATGTCGTGCGGCCTGGAAGGCGTGTTCTTTGAGAAGGTCACGGACCCCGTGCGGACGAACACGAAGTTCAAGGACTGCACCTCTTTTGAGGGTTTAGGGTTTAGGTTTTGTTCGTAACGCCGGGTTTAGGGTTCAGGTTTAGGGTTTAGGGTTTAGGGTTTATATAGGGTTTAGGGTTTAGGGGTTAGGGGTTCGAGGGTTCTTTCGAGATTGTGGGGCCTCAGGCGTTCGAGGGTCTATGCCCCCAAGGCCGCACCATTGACCCAGCCAGATTCTTCCGCAAAAGCATCCACCTCAAAGGATTACGACTCGTACCTCTTAGGATTTAGGTTCTAGGGTTTAGGGTTCAAGGTATTCCCAAGGGTCCCCTTCCTGCACTCCGAAGATGGCTCTTAGATTCTCTCGGGATTCGTTAATAACGGCCCCCCGCCCCCCCGGCCCCACCCCCAAACCCAAGGGTACAACCCTTGGGGTCCAAGGTACATTCCCATGACCACCGGCAACTTATGCGGTAAGCCCTAAACCGTAAACCCTAAACCCGAAGCTCTAAGCCCCAAACCCTAAACCCTGAACCCTAGACCCTAAACCCTAAACCCTAAACCCTAAACCTTCAACCCTGCACTCCATGGACCCTTAATGGGGGTACGTATCCCAAGGTTCCCTCCACAAGCTTCGCAAGGGTTCCCTAGATAAAGGGCCCCTACTTTGGATCCCCTATCTAGGGTTTTGGTTTAGGGTTACAGGGACCCCTAAACCCTAAACCCTAAACCCTAAACCCTAAACCCTAAACCCTAAACCCTAAACCCTAAACCCTAAACCCTAAACCCTAAACCCTAAACCCTAAACCCTAAACCCTATTCCCTAATCCCTAAACCCTAAACCCCCTACTTCTTAGGGCTTCTCTCCATCTTCTTCTGCCCCAAAAAACAGGCGCCCGTGGAGGCCTTCGACACCGAGACGGGGGCAGATGGGCACTTGTACGTCGTCACGAAGAGGTCGGAGACCCGCACCTTGGGGGCCACGCCTTGTTAGAGGGGTTTGGGGGGTTTTGGGGGTTTAGGGTTTAGGGTTCAGGGTTTAGGGTTCAGGGTTTAGGGTTTAGGGTTTAGGGTTTAGGGTTTAGGGTTTAGGGAGAGTTTAGGGCTTAGGGCTTAAGCCCTACAGAACCCTGCATAACCTTAGCAGAACTCCACAAAACGTGGTTAAACCCTGTAAGCCTTAGAGACCCTGCAAGCACGAGAATCCCAAAAAATCCAAAACCTTAGCCCATCTTCCCTACTTGGACGTTCATGGGTGCATATAACCACAACTATAAATCTACTTCTACCTACTTCGGGGACTTAGGGGGCTTACAAGTGCAGTTATAATTGGGGTTATGAGTACCCTGAGCCTCCAAGTAGCCCTAAGCCCTAAGCGCCCTAAGCCCTAAGCCCTAAGCCCTGAACTTTCGGCCCTTTGGGTTTCGGGCGTTTAGCGGGCTAGGGGCCCTGGTCTTGGGATCTGGGGCTTACGCTACCCGAAGCCCGACCCTAAGACCCTAAACCCCAAGCCCTAAACCCCAAACCCTAAACCCCAAACCCCAAACCCTAAACCCCAAACCCTAAACCCCTAAACCCCTAAACCCC